TGCAGGAAGGCTTTTTTGCGGCTTTAATTTTGATTTTTTGGGGTGTATTTTCCTCCCGCGGGTCTTGGCCTATAATAATAATAATAATAATAATAATAATAATAATAATAATAATAATAATAATAATAATAATAATAATAATAATAATAATAATAAAGTTGGAAGGGACCTTGGAGGTCATCTAGTCCAACCCCCTGCTCAGGCAGGAAATAGCCTTCCTGCCATTCAGAATCAGAAGAACAGAGTTGGAAGGGACCTTGGAGGTCATCTAGTCCAACCCCCTGCTCAGGCAGGAAATAGCCTTCCTCCCATTCAGAATCAGAAGAACAGAGTTGGAAGGGACCTTGGAGGTCATCTAGTCCAACCCTCCCCCCCCACCAAGCAGGGGACCCTACACCATTTCTGACAGAGGGCAGTCCAGTCTCTTCTTGAAAGCGTCCAGTGATGAAGCTTCCACAACATCTGGAGGCAACTCCTGTTCCGTTGGTTGATTGTTCTCACGGTCAGGAAAATGTCTGCGACTTTAAGCGGTGTGGACTTCAACTCCCAGCATTCCCCGACCTCTAAAAGTTGCCCAGGGGGAGGAACGCTGGCCTGTAGTGTGACTTTCGGGCTCTGAAGCTTCGGCGGGACCTTCCGAAGGGACCTCAAGAATCTCCCCCTTGAGAGAGCTCCCAGATCTGGGCTGCCAAACTGAACACGACCACCAGGGGTCAGCCAAAGATGCACCAAAGTAGGTTTCCTGCCTGAGCAGGGGGTTGGACTTGATGACCTCCAAGGTCCCTTCCAACTTTATCATCATCATCATCATCATCATTATTATTATTATTACTTTTTTTTCAGCGCCGTTGTAACTTTTGCGGCCACCAAACGAACTCTTGTAAATTGAGGGTTACCTGTATTTCAGTGGCGCACGCCTGGAGCAAGGGGTTGGGCTGAATGACCTCTAAGGCCCCTTCTGAGGCCCATGTTTCTGCTGTTGTCTGAAAAGCCCCTTTTTTTGGGAAGGGTTGACACCCCCATTTATCAGCTTCTGAACCCTAACTCCGTCGCTGCTTTTGAGCGGGGTGTCCTCTCCCCTTCCTCCCGTCTTGTGCAGCCGGAAAAAGCAGGCGGGAACCCAAATTTGGGACTCTTCAAAACCCACGTCAGATCATTCCCAAAAGCTGGGGAGGCCAGCTAGCTTCTGCCCACCGCTGGGCTCAAAGCCAGGAAAACCTGGCCAGGAAAGGGGGGCACGGCGAGGGTCCCACATCTCTGCCCTCCGACAATCCGTTGAGCGAGCAGAGCCCGGGACTGGATGTCCCGAAAGAGAAGTCGGAAGTCTCCGAGGCTTTGGGACCTATTAATGGCCTCTCCGGAGTCTTGCAGCTGTGAGAGAAATGGGGGGGGGGTCTTTGGGGGGGGCAGATGGGCTTTTGGGGGGGCGAAGGGAGGAAGCAAAGCACATTCAGAGGGGCTGCTTGCTCTGCCCGTCCCCTGTGTGTGGGTGCTGTTCCTCCTCCACGCAGGCAGCATCCTTCTTCCTCCAGCTGCAGGTGGCGAATCCCGTTCCTTCCCGAAAATAATGCGACTTCCTTCCTGCTTAATCCTGGCACTGAGGATGTTACCTAGTCAGGTCACGAAACGTCTGCAAGGAAACCGCCCAGCTCAGAGAGCACCAGGGACCCCCACGATCGTCGTCCTCTTCTTCGCTGCAAACCCCACTCCCCTCTAGCACGGATGATGTTAGGTAGTTTGGTCACGAAACATCTGCAAGCAAAGAGCCCATTTCTTCTTCTTCTTCTTCTTCTTCTTCTTCTTCTTCTTCTTCTTCTTCTTCTTCTTCTTCTTCTTCTTCTTCTTCTTCTCCCTTTCTTCTTCTTCCTCTTCTCCTCCTCCCTATTTCTTCTTCCTCTTCTCCTCCTCCTCCCTTTCTTCTTCTTCCTCTTCTTCCTCTTCTTCCTCTCCTCCTCCTCCCTTCTTCTTCCTCTTCTTCTTCTCCTCCCTTTCTTCTTCTTCCTCTTCCTCTTCTCCTTTTCTTCTTCCTCTTCTCCTCCCTTTCTTCTTCTTCCTCTTCTTTCTCTTCTCCTCCTCCCTTTGTTCTTCTTCCTCTCCTCCTCCTCCTCCCTTTCTTCTTCTTCTTCTTCCTCTTTGTCTTCCTCTTCTCCTCCTCCTTTTCTTCTCCTTCCTCTTCCTCTTCTCCTTTTCTTCTTCCTCTTCTTCTCCTCCTCCCTTCTTCTTCCTCTTCTCCTCCTCCCTTTCTTCTTCTTCTTCTTCTTCTTCTTCTTCTTCTTCTTCTTCTTCTTCTTCTTCTTCTTCTTCTTCTTCTTCTTCTTCTTCTTCTTCTTCTTCTTCTCCTCCTCCTCCTCCTCCTCCTCCTCCTCCTCCTCCTCCTCCTCCTCTTCCTCCTCCCAAACCCACCTTCCTTCTAGCACTGATGATGTTCCCTAGCTGGGTCATGAAACATCTGCAAGAAAACCACCAAGCTCAGAGGGCACCAAGGACCCCACAGTCCCCCCCCTCCTCCTCCTCCTCCCAAGCCCCACTCNAATAATAATAATAATAATAAATGTGTGACCTCTTTTGCAATAAAATAAATCCAGCCCTCTCCTGGTTTCCTGTCGCTGTGGCTTCTTTCTCGAAACGCTGTGTATATCGAGTTGTTGGTTTTGGTTTCTTTCGTATCCCGTGATTTTTGTGATTTTTTTTTTACAAGTAACCCAAGGCGGCCGACAGACCTAATCGTCGTTCCTCCTCCTGTTTCCCTCACGACGGCCCTGCGAGGTGGGCTGGGTTGAGAGAAGGCAACCGGCCCAGAGCCAACCGGTTGACTATCATGGCTAAGGCGGGACTAGAACTCGCCGTCTCCTGCTGATTGGCCCGAAGTCACCCAGCTGGCTTTCACACCTCAGGCGGCACTAGAACTCACCATCTCCTAGTGATTGGCCCACAGTCAACCAACTGACTATCATGACTAAGGCGGGACTAGAACTCGCCATCTCCTGGTGATTGGCCCAAAGTCACCCAGCCGGCTTTCAGGCTTAACGCGGGACTAGAACTCACCATCCCCTGGTGATTGGCCCAAAGTCACCTGCTGGCTTTCTTATCTCAGGCAGAACTAGAATTCACCGTCTCCTAGTGATTGGCCCAGAGTCAACCAGCTGACTATCGTGGCTAAGGCGGGACTAGAACTCGCTGTCTCCTGGTGATTGGCCCAAAGTCAGCCAGCCGCCTTTCATTCCTAAGGCAGAACTAGAACTCACCGTCTCCCAGTTTCTAGCATGGCGCCTTAACTTCTAGATCAAACTGGCTTTTCTCCACGTCACCTTATTTTGCAAATGTGGGTGTGGCAGGCTCTCATTTTTACCTTCCAAATATCCAGTGGGGTATGTGTTTTTGTGTGCGTGGGGGGGTGGCTCTGTTCATCCGAACAATTCCAAGGACTTTGTCCCAAATTGCAACGATGTATAGGAGGGTAGTGTTCAAATTTGTGACCTGGAAACCCCCCCACCTCCCAAGGCATGGAGGGGCTGGTCCCCCCCAAAAAAAACCCTCCCCCCGAAAAAGGTTGGTATGATGGAGAGATTGCTTTGAAAAATAAATGTTGATTGTTCTCTGCACTGGGGAACACTGAGGTTACACGAGGGATCCTTTTTTATTGTTTCCCATGGCGGTGGCAGCGATCAGAGTCTGCTGGTGGTTACAAACCTGACTTTGCACCAAAGTAGATGCAAAAGGTTCTGCTTGGGCAGGGGGCTGGACTAGAAGACCTCCAAGGTCCCTTCCCGCTCTGCTCTATTCTATTCTATTTTCTATTCTATTCTATTTTCTATTCTATTTTATTCTATTTTCTATTCTATTCTTTTCTATTTTCTATTCTATTCTATTTACTTTTCTATTCTTGTCTATTCTTTTCTCTATTCTATTCTATTTTCTGTTTTATTTTCTATTCTATTCTATTTTCTATTCTTTTCTATTTTCTATTCTATTCTATTTTCTGTTTTCTATTCTATTCTATTTACTTTTCTATTCTTCTATTCTTTTTTTCCTCTATTCTATTTTCTATTCTATTTTCTATTTTATTCTATTTTCTATTCTTTTCTATTTTCTATTCTATTTTCTATTCTATTCTATTTTCTATTCTATTCTATTTTCTATTCTATTCTTTTCTATTATATTCTACTTTATTCTATTCTACTCTATTCTATTCTATTTACTTTTCTATTCTTGTCTATTCTTTTCTCTTTTCTATTCTATTCTATTCTATTCTATTCTATTCTATTCTATTCTATTCTATTCTATTCTCACAGGGCCATTAAAATTAGACACAACCAAAAAAACACAGTGGTCCAGTGAGTTTTGTCCCATTTTACGCCCTGTCTTGCCACAGTTGATAAGTAATGCCTGCAGTTGTTAAATTAATCCATCGATTGTTAAGTGAATTTGGCTTCCCCAATTGACTTTGCTCATCAGATGTTCACAGAACATTTTTGTACCTAAAGCAGGAATAGTTTCTAACTTGGTGCCGCGGGACGCTGCAACCGTCATAAACACGAGTCAGTTGCTAGACGTACCGAATTTTGATCACGTGACTCCGGGGGAAGCTGCAATGGTCGTAAGGGTGAAACACGGTCGTACCGTCCCTTTTTCCCCCATCCCCGACGGTCACTAAACAAACGACTGTAACTCGAGGACTTGCCTCTGTTCCCATCTCAGCCTGGGAAAATTCGCTCAGGCAAACCTGGAAAGGCTCTTCTCTGGAACAAAACAAGATTAAAAATAGAAAAGAGTTTTTATTTTTGTTTTTTGAGAATTCTGCAGAATTAGAACAGAAGAACAGAGTTGGGAGGGGGACCTCGGAGGTCTTCTAGTCCAACCCCCTGCTCAGGATCGGTGCGAGAAAATTGGTGAAAGGAAAAGGGAGGGGCGAACGTCTATTTGATCTGTATTTTGGAAGGGGGGGACTCCCACCCAAATCTGGACCCTTCCTTAAATTTTGGATATTTTTCTCTCCGCAGGTTGACATCGGACTCCGTCACCTGTACAGAGACAGAAGCCGCCAATCATTGGCCCGGGGTGCCGGTCAGCCACCTTTCGCCAACCCCTCCAGAGTCCTTGGCCACCGTCAAATCCCTGATCAAGTCTTTTGATTTGGGATGCTCAGGTGAGTGGACCCTCCTAGCTTCCTCCTTTTACGACATAATAAATACAGATTCGTCCTCGCTTACCGACCGGCACCGACAACTCTATTGCAAAACCACATGGTTGTAAGGTTAAAACGTCACGTGACTTGAGTCACCTTGCTCCATCCATTCTCGTCGCCATCATTTAGTGAACTATTTGCAGTAAATACCAACGATGGACAGGCGGTCCTTGGCCTACAAGGCTTCATTTAGTTGTTCTGCTATCCTTCCTTCCTTCCTTCCTTCCCCATCACTGGAGGTTTTTTAAAAAGAGACTGGACAGCCACTTGTCTGGAATGGAATAGGGACTCCTGCTTGAGCAGGGGGCTGGACTAGAAGACATCCGAGGTCCCTTCCAGCTCTGCTATTCTGCTATTCCTTCCTTCCTTCCTTCCTCTTTCTACGGCTTCTTCTCCTTCCCCCCTCCCTTCCTTCCCCTTTCTACTTCTTCTTCCTTCCTTCCTTTCCTGCCTTCCTTCCTTCCTTCCCTTTACTGCTTCTCCTTCCTTCCTTCCTTCCTTCCTTCCTTCCTTCCTTCCTTCCTTCCTTCCTTCCTTCCTTCCTTCCTTCTCCATCACTAGAGATTTTCAAGAAAAGATTGGACAGCCACTTATTTGGAATGGAATAGGGACTCCTGCTTGAGCAGGGGGCTGGACTAGATGACCTCCGAGGTCCCTTCCAGCTCTGTTATTCTGCTATTCTTCCTTCCTTCCTTCCTTCCTTCCTTCCTTCTCCATCACTAGAGATTTTCAAGAAGAGACTGGACAGCCACTTATGGAATAGGGACTCCTGCTTGAGCAGGGGGCTGGACTAGAAGACCTCCAGGGTCCCTTCCAACTCTCTTATTCTGGTATCCATCCTTCCTTTCTTCCTTGTCACTAGAGGCTTTTAAGAAGAGACTGGACAGCCACTTGTCATAGGGATTCCTGCTTCAGCAGGGGGTTGGACTAGATGACCTCCGAGGTCCCTTCCAACTCTGTTATTATTTCTGTTATTTCTTCTTCTTCTTTTTTTTTTTTTTTTTTGCAGGGAGCACCGGGCAGAGCGTGCCCATCCACAAGGTCTGCCGGAGTCCACTCAGCAACATCCCCACCCGGACGGCCCCTGCGGCTGCTGTGTCGCCCATCCAGGTACCCCAAAGGGCGTCTCTGGCCTTGCAGAACCTCCAGACGGGAAGCGGCAGCAGCTTTTCTTAGTCTCGGCAGGCTTTAAGACAGGTGGACTTCAACTCCCAGAATTCCCCAGCCCTCATGCTTTTAAACGGATGGGCTTCTAATCCCAGAATTCCCCAGCCTTCCCCAGGAGTAAGGAAAAGAAAGGAAGTAAATGGATGAAGAAAGGGAAGGGAAGGGAAGGGAAGGGAAGGAAGGAAGGAAGGAAGGAAGGAAGGAAGGAAGGAAGGAAGGAAAAGGAAAAAGGGAAGGGAAGAACTGGAAAGGAGAAGAAAGGACAGGGAACAGAAGGGAAGAGAAGGGAAGAAGAGAGGAAAGGAAAGGAAAGGAAAGGGGAAAAGGAAGGAAAGAAGGAAGGGAGAGAAAGTGAAAAAGAAGAAATGAGGGGAGGAAGGGAGGGAGGAAGGGAGGAAAGGGAAAGGAAGGAAGGAAGGAAGGAAGATGATAAAGGGACAAAGAGAAGGAAGGAAGGAAGGAAGGAAGGAAGGAAGGAAGGAAGGAAGGAAAAGAAAGGAAAAAGGGAAGGGAAGAACTGGAAAGGAGAAGAAAGGACGGAACAGAAGGGAAGAGAAGGGAAGAAGAGAGGAAAGGAAAGGAAAGGGGAAAAGGAAGGAAAGAAGGAAGGGAGAGAAAGTGAAAAAGAAGAAATAAGGGGAGGGAGGAAGGGAGGAAAGGGAAAGGAAGGAAGGGAAGGAAGATGAGAAAGGGACAAAGAAGAGAAGGAAGAAAGGAAGGAAGGAAGGAAGGAAGGAAGGGAAGGCTAAGATTTATCAGAAATGCATCCACAAGCTACAGGTAGCCCTGGACTTATGACCGGTTGCTTAGCAACCATTTGAACTTACAATGGAACCCCCCCCCTCCAAACTACTTACGACCTGGATTAGAAATTCCAACCACCAGCCTCACCTCTCACCACGACATGATCGTATTTGGGGCGCTGGCCCACATTTACAGCATCCTGCATTCACAGGACCATCATTTCCAAATATATATATATTTTCCCTGGAAACCGGCTTTTCCTTCCAATTTCTGGCAGGGGGAAAAAAAAGTCCATTACAGATCAAGGATTCACTTAATGCAACGTGGCCCTTTGATGACTGGTGGACTTCAACTCCCAGAATTCCTCAGCCAGGAGGCTTTAAGACAGGGGTCTTCCAACTTGGCCCTTTGAGGACTTCTGGACTTCAACTCCCAGAATTCCTCAGCCAGGATGCTTTAAGACAGGGGTCTTCCAACTTGGCCTTTTGAGGACTTGTGGACTTCAACTCCCAGAATTCCTCAGCCAGGCATGCTGGCTGTGGAATTCTGGGAATTGAAGTCCACAAGCAGGGGTCTTCCAACTTGGCCCTTTGATGACTTCTGGACTTCAACTCCCAGAATTCCTCAGCCAGGATGCTTTAAGACAGGGGTCTTCCAACTTGGTCCTTTGATGACTGGTGGACTTCAACTCCCAGAATTCCTCAGCCAGGATGCTTTAAGACAGGGGTCTTCCAACTGGGTCCTTTGATGACTTGTGGACTTCAACTCCCAGAATTCCTCAGCCAGGCACGCTGGCTGTGGAATTCTGGGAGTTGAGGTCCACAAGCAGGGCTCTTCTAACTTGGCACTTTGATGACTGGTGGACTTCAACTCCCAGAATTCCTCATCCAGGATGCTTTAAGACGGGTCTTCCACCGTGGCCCTTTGATGACTCGTGGACTTCAACTCCCAGAATTCCTCAGCCAGGCTGAGGAATTCTGGGAGTTAAGCCCCTGACTTAACAATTGCCACAGTCCTTTAGGAACCACCGCAGAACAAGTTGCAAAATTGGATGCAGCCGCGTGGTGACCTGCTTTAGCGACCTGCATAAATTACCGTCCTCTTTCCAGGCTCGATCGCGTTCGTAAGTTGTAGCACGACCCGAAGCCGGGGCTTCACACACAACCCGTGTTGGAATTTAAAGGTTTCTGGCCATCTGGCTAGAGAGAGATTTTTTATTTATTTTTTTTTTGGCAGCCCGGAAAAACAGGATTTTTGCTCTTTCTCCCTTGCAGAGACATTCCACTTTTACCAACCCCAAATCGGTGGGAAAGACTTTATCCAAACACACGGATCTCCTGGAACTGCCTTTGGGGGGTAAGTAGCCACCATCACCCCCCTGGCTGAAATGGAAATTCTATAGGAGGTGAAGGTTGAAAGAATGTGGATTTAATCCTGGGGGAAAATCACTGACCCGTCCGGCCGAAATTAAAGGCCGCGCCAGGGGGACCAGTTTAACCAGGCCACCCCGGAAGGTTTGAACTGACCACGGACAGGTCATCCTTCCCGTGGTCCAGGGGCTGTTAGGCAGGGGGTTGGTTGTTGTGTTGTAGTGGTAGTGTTGTTTTCTTCTTGGTAGGTCCTTGAGTTGGCTGTTGTTTAATGGAGCCACGTTATATAAAAAGAGAGCAGACCCCCCCCCCTTCCAGCCCTGATGATGTTAGCTAGTTGGGTCATGAAATGTCTGCAAGGAAACCACCCAGCTCAGAGAGCAGCAAGGGACCCCACAGCCACCCTCCTCCTCCTCCTCCTCCTCCTCCTCCTCCTCCAATCCCACTCCCTTCTAGCACTGATGATGTTACCTAGCTGGGTCATGAAACGTCTGCAAGAAAATCACCAAGCTCAAAGAGGACCAGTGATACCACAGTTTTCCTCCTCCTCCTCCTCCTCCTCCTCCTCCTCCTCCTATTCTTATTTCTATTCTATTCACTATCCTATTCTATTCTGTATTTCTATTCTTATTTCTATTCTATTCTATTCACTATTCTATTCTCTATTTCTATTCTTAGTCTATTCTATTCTATTCTATTCACTATTCTATTCTATTCTATATTCTTTTACGTTCTGTTCTGTTCCATTCTATTCTTCATTCCTTCTATTCTATTCTATTCTATTCTATTCTATTCTATTCTATTCTTCCTGTTTCCATTCTATTCTATTCTTCATTCCTTCTATTCTATTCTATTCTATTCTATTCTATTCTATCCTATTCTATTCTATTCTATTCTTCATTCCTTCTATTCTATTCTATTCTATTCTATTCTATTCACTATTCTATTCTCTATTTCTATTCTTAGTCTATTCTATTCTATTCTATTCACTATTCTATTCTATTCTATATTCTTTTACGTTCTGTTCTGTTCTGTTCCATTCTATTCTTCATTCCTTCTATTCTATTCTATTCTATTCTATTCTATTCTATTCTATTCTATTCTATTCTATTCTATTCTTCCTGTTTCCATTCTATTCTATTCTTCATTCCTTCTATTCTATTCTATTCTATTCTATTCTATTCTATTCTATTCTATTCTATTCTTCATTCCTTCTATTCTATTCTATTCTATTCTATTCTATTCTATTCTTCATTCCTTCTATTCTATTCTATTCTATTCCATTCCATTCCATTCCATTCTATTCTTCCTGTTTCCATTCTATTCTATTCAATATTCTATTCTATTCTACTCTACTCTATTCATTTTCTATTCTGTTTCTACTGTTCTACTCTACTCTATACTCTACTTTACTCTACTCTATTCTACTCTATTCTAAATTCCCCATCAGTCAGTTGCAAAAGGCAGCTTTACTCCAAGCAGCTTACGTCCTGCAACGTGACCTTTAATATTATTAAATATTAACATCTGCCTATCCCAGGTCCTTGCGAAGGACTCAACGGGTGGATAAAAATGCCAGGTCCAGTCTGAGCATCTGGACGATTATGCGATGAACTGTAGGGAGTCCCCGACTTACAGTGGTTCATTTAGTGACCGTTCAATGTTACAACGACACCAAAGGAAGCGGCTTAGGACCAGTTTTCACACTTATGACCGTGGCAGCATCTCCCGTGGTCACATGATCAAAATTGGTAACTGACTCATAGCTATGACGGTTGCATTGTCCCTGGGGTCACCTAATCCCCTCTCATGACCTTCTGACAAGCAAAGTCAATGGGGGAAGCTGGATTCGCTCTACGACCGTGTGACTAGCTTCACCGCTGCAGCGATTCGCTTAACAACGGCGGCAGGAAAGGTCGTAACATGGGGCAAAATTCACTTCACATCTGTTTCGCTTTGCAACACGAATATTTGGCTCAATTGTCATACGTTGAGGACTACCTGTATAATAATAATAATAATAATAATAATAATAATAATAATAATAATAATAATAATAATAATAAATAACAATAATCACCACCTTACTTGGAACTGCCTATATGCACTCAGTCGTTACCTTAATAGTTCTTAGGTCCTTGGTTAGGACTTGAACTGTTAAGTTTTTAACCAGTCCCAGACTGTGAATCGAATTGAAGATTAAATCTTTAATAATAATAATAATAATAATAATAGTAATAGTAATAGTAATAATAATAAAAAGCACACAGCCAATAAAAGGGGAGGAGTAAAAAATAATAACGAGGATAAACAATAATACTGCAGCCACGGCCCTATCGGTTAATATAATAGTAGTAGTAGTAGTAGTAGTAGTAGTAGTAGTAGTAGTAGTAGTAGTAGTAATAGACACCTTGGGTGCAATCCTAAAACAACTGGAGCACCACTTGAACATCATCATCGGCACTGACAAATTCGCCATCAGTCAACTGCAAAAGGCGGCCTTACTAGGAACTGCTGACTTCTGGCTGACTGTGCGATGATTAATAATAATAATAATAATAATAATAATAATAATAATACCACCACCATTGGCATTGACAAATTCGCCATTAGTCAACTGCAAAAGGCAGCCTTACTAGGAACTGCTTCCATCCTGCAACGAGATCTGTAATACCATCAAACATCCACATCTGCCTATCCCAGGTCCTTGGGAAGGACTCGATAGGTAGACAAAATGCCAAATCCAGACTGAACATCTGGCTGACTGTGCGATGATCAATAATAATAATAATAATAATACCACCACCACCATTGGCATTGACAAATTTGCCATTAGTCAATTGCAAAAGGCAGCCTTACTAGGAACTGCTTCCATCCTGCGACGATATCTATAATACCATCAAACATCCACATCTGCCTATCCCGGGTCCTTGGGAAGGACTCGATAGGTAGACAAAAATGGCTGACTGTGCGATAATCAATATAATAATAGTAGTAGTAGTAGTAGTAGTAGTAGTAGTAGTAGTAGTAGTAGTAGTAGTAGTAGTAATAATAATAATAATAATAATAATAAAAAAGTTGGAAGGGACTTTGGAGGTCATCTAGTCCAACCCCCTGCTCAGGCAGGAGACCCTAAACCATTTCAGACAAATGGCTGTCCAGTCTCTTCTTAAAAACCTCCAGTGTTGGAGCATTCACTGCTTCTGGAGGCAGGTTGTTAATAATAATAATAAAGTTGGAAGGGACCTTGGAGGTCATCTAGTCCAACCCCCTGCTCAGGCAGGAAACCCTATACCATTTCGGACAAATGGCTGTCCAGTCTCTTCTTAAAAACTTCCAGTGTTGGAGCATTCCCAACTTCTGGAGGCAAGGAGTTCCACTGGTTAATTGTCCTCACTGTGAGGAAGTTTCTCCTTAGTTCTAGGTTGCTTCTCTCCTTGATGAGTTTCCATCCGTATATATATGTATATATAGACATAATCTTGTATTTTATCAGCTGTGGGACAACTCCTGCCCACTCCCTCTTTTTTCAGGAAAGTGGGGAGGGGGGGAAAATCCCCCATCCCCTCCTCCTCCTCCTCCTCTCCTTCCTCTCCCTCCCAGATTCTTTTGCAAGGAGGCAGAGCTCAATTTTTGGTGCTTTTTTCCTTTCCCATCTTCTCTCCTGCCAAACGCTGGTGGCAAAATGACAAATTTCAGAGAGGGGCCATCGGCAAGGGGGGGGGGCGCGCTTTAAAATATGCAAGAAGCCCTAAAACAGAGACTTTTTTTTTTCCTAAGGCTTGCCTGAGCTAAAAGTTTCCAGATCTCTTGAAGGCGCCAAGGGGTGAAAAACAGGGGACTTATAGTCTTCAAGAGGCTGGCTTGGAAGCCAGGATGTCTTGTTCCCTCGGATCTTGAATGGAGCGATTGTTCCCGGGGGCTCAGATCCCCACCCCCACCCCCCATTTATGCTCCCTAGACTTTCAGCAAAGCCCTTGATGCCAGCTGGGGGAGGAGGGAAGGCCCACCATCCTGGCCTCCAAGCTCTACAGATCTCTACAACCTACTTAGGATTTCTCTAGTGTGAGCCCCCCTGCGAGGTAGTCCAGGCAGGAGGGAATAACCACAATAAAGCTCTTATCTTTACAGGTAGCCCAATGGAACCCCCCAAATTTAGGCTGCTAAATCATCATCATCATCATCATAATAGTTGGAAGGGACCTTGAATAGAATAGAATAGAATAGAATAGAATAGAATAGAATAGAATAGAATAGAATAGAATAGAATAGAATAGAACAGAACAGAACAGAACAGAACAGAATAGATAATATGGAATGGAACGGAATGGAATGGAATAGAATGGAATATAGAAGGGAATGGAATATAGAATAGAATAGAATAGAATAGAATAGAAAATATGGAATAGAATAGAATGGAATGGAATGGAATATAGAATGGAATGGAATAGAAGACTTGGAAGGGACCTTGGAGGTCATCTAGTCCAACCCCCTGCTCAGGCAGGAAACCCTACACCAGTGATGGCGAACCTTTTAGAGACCGAGTGCCCAAACTGCAACCCAAAACCCACTTATGCATCATCGGGTGCCGAGTGGGTGTGGCCCATTGGATGGGTGTGGCTGCGGTGGTAACGGCAGACTGGGTGGGACTAAAAAGTTCAATCAATCAATTCCAACTTTGCAAGATTTTTTTTTTCCCCGCGAGAAGTTGAAATTGACTGATTGATTGAACCTTTTTTTTTGCACACGGCGGCGGAGGCCTAAAGCGAAAAGGTTTTATAAAACCCAGCTGAAGGCCTAGGACTGGGGCGAGGGCGCGCGTGCCCACAGAGAGGGCTCTGAGTGCCGCCTCTGGCACCCGTGCCATAGGTTCACCACCACTGCCCTATACCCTTTCAGACAAATGGCTGTCCAGTCTCTTCTTAAAAACTTCCAGTGTGAGAGAGAGAGGGAGAGAGAGAAAAAGAGAGAGGGAGAGAAAGAGGG